GGGGGGGGGGGGGATGTAATCCCATTTCCCAGCCCAAATTGTGACCAAATCTCCTTTCCCTGGGTATTTGGATAAAAATTTAACGGAGTACAGGATATTTGGGTGAAAAAATGAATGGGATTAGGGATATCATAAAATCAGGTAGGAAAATCGTTGGTTTTAGGAACTGGAGATAATGGGACGTGGGGTGCTCAGACTCGCCCTAAAGGACCCTTTCCTGAACATTGCCGCACGACATTTCCCTGGATGGCCTTGTTCTTTAAATGCATATGTTTATTAACCCATAACGATTTAAACTCTACAAACCTTCGGTACGGTTACTATTTCTGTTTCCACGTCAATTTCACTGCAAAACGAAAGGAGGAGAAAATAAAGAAATGTTTACTATGAAATCACGCCCTTTAAACAGCAATGTTACCAGGATTTTGAATCAGTCGAAGACACAAAATGTATCGCACAGGACATGCTTCCTCCCTTTGGCAGCTAGCTCCTTGGTTTCTTGACTTGCAGGGGAGCTATGTCGAAGTACAAGAAACAATTTTGTGCGATCGATGTAGAAAAATGAAAACGGTCTGAGAATGATACGAAAAATGACAAGGGAAATTCATTGCAATCCGCACACAAAAAATATTCAATTGTCTAGAAACCTTTCTGTAGTCACATCTGATCGATAATTTTGGTTCAACTGCCTGGAAATTATTAGTTATTTATTGCATTGAATTATTTATCATGTGGCTAGTGTTTGTAGCTGATATAAAGCGCGCTCTGATTGGCGATTTTTGAGGCGCCAATTAAAAGTCTTTCAAAGTTATGCATGCAACAATTTTCTTCTTGAAATTCTAACTCGTCAGCAAGGGTTATGTCTAACTAAGGTTTTGCAGCTGCTGTCCTTTCATAAAAACTATGGCTTTGATATATGGCTCGCTCTCTTTTCTCAGTGGGGCGTTAACAACCACTCATGATGTCCGTGGGCATTACGGCAAAATCCCTGTCGGATTCTTAGAAAGTCTAGAAACGTCCCTTAAATTTGATTCTCTCAAGTTGGAAAAACAACAGAAAAATTCAGTTTTGATTTTCATCTCGTTCGTAATCAAAATAAAGACATTTTTTTTGACGGAATACGCTCTGGATTATTTCCCTGATAATGTTGACGGGTTGGGAGAGAGATTGAACAAAAATCCGTGGTGGCGAGAAACGTTTAAAAGCGCGTTCATAAGCGGTGATTTAACCACTTCAACCTCAATCATTTTTGGCGAAACAATTGCCATACAATAAATCACTAGCAACCTTCAACGTTCGGTCTTTGCAGGAAAATCTCCAACGTCGATCTTTCTGCATTGACCTTGCACTCTGCCAATACAACAAAACCTTAGTTTGAGGTTTTCCTGCAAAGACCTCACCCTTGGTTAATAAGTACTTGATATCTCACGCTTCTGTCAAATTGCTTTTGTCATGTTTGACAAAAACACGTTACTGAGTTAGCTTATTACAACTATTTCGGGAAAATATTGGAACTCTCAACTAAGATATTATCCCTTAGGAAATTTACGGTAGTTAAACTGAAAAAATTCATGATTACTAACCGTGCCTCATACGGTTTCTCCGAGAATATTCTTAAAAGGAACTCAGCTTCTTGCCGTGGGTGAAACGTGGACGGGACTAAGACGTACTCTCCTGGTGGCAGTGAGTATCTAGAGCTGATCTCTCTTAGTTTAGTAAAGGAGTTTGTCATGGCTGTTGCCTTGGTAGTCTCGAAAAACCGTCTGTCAAAACGCTCCTTGGTGTCACGCAGGTCTTCTGGTATCTAGCATTAAAGAAGAAATTAAACAATTAACTCACAAAAAATCCTTACACTGAAAGATTCATTTTCGTTTTTCAGTCTCAACATTACTCGGGAAGGGGGAGGAGAGGGAAATTGCCGGGCTGGAATATAGTCTGCAAAAACCAATAGACCATCTCATAACCACCAATATCCTTTTGCTTCTTTCTCAAAGGGAGTCTTGGTGCCTATCCTTTCATATGAAAATGAGATTTCATTTGCAAATCACACGCATTTTCACATGAATGGTTGTGCACCAGGCCTTGCTTTGATAGAGAGGCTTAGGGCAACTCAAAAATGGGCTGTTCCCATAAGCCTTCTTCCGTCCCAAGGTTGTGGCTGAATGGAGAAGCTCGTACCAATCTCCCTGTGCCTCAGTGAGTGGTGTGAGGAATGTGACGGGTTCCACTACCTTCGGGGAGTTAGAACTTACCCTTTGTCTCACGCTCACAAGTAACAACCTGAACACAGTTACTTAAATAATAAACTTTAAAGTCCTCTGGAAAATATATAGGAAATGCTCGTTTTACAGAGCACAGTTGCTTTCACTGAGCAACAGTTTTATAGTCACCTTATAGATGGCAAACCCAATAGGAGGTCTTTCGTTAGCTGGGGTTCTCTTTCGATCAATGCGCATGAGTGACACTACAATTGAACAGCGGTCTTCGTCATCGTCCTCGTCAGAGTCTTGTAACTGAACCCTGTTAAACAAAACAAAACTGTATAACTACTAAAGAGTAAATCCACCCAGCAATTTCCTGCTGCGACAGTTTTGAATGATGCTGTTCCACAAAGGCATTGCTTTTTCACAGTGTTCACTTCTTGGTTTTCTCTTCGAGAGTTTTTCGTACGAGGAGGGAATATTGGCAGGAAATTGCTGGTTTGTTAGCTATGTTCACATTGGCTATGGCTACCACGGTTTCCCGTCAAAAGGATACGCTTTTGTATCCACACTAATTTTACTACTGGAAAATCGCGTAGTTGGAGTCGCAGATGTCTGGGGCTTGAAAATTTCTAGAGCTATGACAAGAAATACTGAAGAAAGGCAAACCAACTGGTAATGAGTTTCGCATTATTTAAAGAACCCCATTGATACAGCCACCCCGTTAATTCGGCCAGATTTTTGTGGCCTGTTGGTGACCGCATTAATGAGGTTTCATTGTATTTCTCTCAGTACCTTATTTGAGGATTGATGTGGAAAGTGTCAATAAAGTTCCTACAGCCACCAGCTGTGGCATCAGCCTGCCACCGGCCTTTCTCTCGTCTTATTTTCCATGATTTCTTCTCGTTCTCCTCCAGAACACTATCTGGTGTAAGCATGCATATCTCTATCCGTGTGAAATTCGCCTGAAAGTCTTCCATTGTCATCCTGTAAATAGAAAAGTATTAATATAAAGCAACGATATTGATACCTATTAGACATTAGGAAAAGCTTTTCACGTGTAATAGTTCATTTGTCGATAAGCTCCAAATTGAGAAGGCTCCACCTAAATATCAGGGAGAAAACAGAAAAAAATTGCACTCACCAAAATTCTCCGTCATCGTCAAACACAAGGTTTAGTCTTTTCCTTTCCTCTGTTGATAATTGATACCACTCCTCAGACCTGGGATGTGCACGTTAGAAAAGTTCGAGATAAAACAAGAATGGCTGAAGCCACTTAATGTATTACATTAAAATGCTACCGACCAGCTAGCTAAGGCCAGCTGAATTGAATTTAGCCTTGCTGAATATTCCAAATGAAGGCTAATGGTAGCCGTTTGTAAAAGCATATCAGTTTTCTTCTCAAAAAAACTGGGAAGAGCTACTATGCAAATTTAAAGACTAACAGCCGTCTCTACTCAGACACAGTTGCAGTTTAGCCGTAACAATAACTTTTGTGACACTAAGATTACAACTCAAGCAAGTGCGATTTGTAATTATTGGTAAATCCAAACATAAGCAAAAGCAGAGCACTGCAGGATTGTACGTTCATCGTATTGCCAACAGGTTTCCTTTTGTCACCATGCAGCTTTCAGAGAACAACTTCGGGATTGGTAAATATTAATATTTCGCCCTAAAATGAGTTTCTCTCTCCGGGTTTATATTATAAGCTAAAGGGGAGATTCGATTGCGTTGACCCTTCTTCGTTTGTTCTGACACTTAAAAGTGATTGCCACCTGTCACTCCAAGCTCCCTTCCATTCTGAGCTATTTCCATGAGGATTACGGAGGCGAATTAGCTTTAGTCCGCGCAAAGTAGGTGAATTAACCTGTGAATGGTAAAATACACATGTGAGAGGAAACATAATTGACCGTAAAAAGGAAGGAAGGTAACTAAACATTGCACCTCAGTCCAGTCTAACTGCGACGGTAAGTGTTGTTTTTGTTAGTTTACTCGGCCTACTCGGTCTGTAATCTTCATAGACGTAATTCATAGAGAGGAATGGTTATGAAACTCGACAAAGTTGTTTGTTGTATGTTTTTGTTCTCTTTTTCGGCCTTGACCGTGCACAAAACATAATAGTTGTTTACTACTGACCCAGGAACTAACCAACAGAAATGTCTTGATTACGTAACTCATGTATAATGTATGAAGGCAAAACAAAAGATTGTGCACGGTCGTGGACCTTCCAACATAAATCTTCAGTGGCATCTTTGTTTGCTCTTCTAATGTTTTCCGGGCTTCATAACCATTCCCCTCTATTAACTATGGCGTAGACGATCAGCATGTATCATGATGATAAAAGAGTTAAGAAGCAAGCGGCACTTAAAGAATTACATTAAGGCCCGAAAGAAACGCTTACATGATTGTGAGCAATTATTGCCTTGACGCATTAATAAGCAGTTACCTTGGCAAAGCCTGTAATCGAATAAGCGTGTCCCGTTATAAGTCCATTTGGTAATGTTTTCTGAATGGTCTGTGCACTCGTCTACAGCAAATAGGCAAAAAACGAGAAAATCAAATACAAATCATCATCGATTAACTGTCCACTATTACATTAGTTGGATCTAACTCGAAGCGTAAGGGTGAAAAGTGGATTCCTGATGTGCCGTCCTTAAAATATCATTTGCATGCAGTTAAATTTCCAGTTACGTCGTACCTCTCTGGAAACTGTATTTCTCCCTCCTCTATTTTAACAGCTTTTCAGCTTTTTGTTTTCGCCGGTGGCATTGTTTTGATTTGTTTCCAATTGCTCCGAGAGGCAACGGGGGAAAGGAAGGGGGGAAGGGGGGTGGNGGGGGGGGGGGGCTTGGTCATTCCATCTTTTCACGAAGAAACGCTGGTAAAAAAGCCAATTATCTGTCGTTTTTTATTTTAATTCAATGACCCACAAACGTATTAATTTGCACGCCTACATCCTTTGGTTCAAATTCTTTTACCTCTATTGAGGCACCCATTAGCGAGTTTCGCTCGTGCGCCTTTTGTAACACTTTATACACATCTAGTGAGCCTTCAGATGGAGGCGTTTGTAAGTTGATCATCTCGATAACGCCTCCAGTGAAATCTTGTAGAGCTTCACTTATTCGTCCTAAGCCCATGGCTTCGTAAGATCCACAAACTCTGCAATGAAAACAGACTCAGTCTACTTGAACACTCACTCAAGGAAACTCTTACTAGAACTGAAAACGTGATTTGAGGATAAGAGACTTATAAGTCTCCTACTGTATCTACGGTGATCTATGTGTCCATTGGGCTTTTCAATGATCCAAGAAGAGCGTATTGAAAGCTCTGAACGACGCAGAAATAAAACAAAAACTACAAAACAAAACAAAACAGCTACAACAAAACCAAAACAGACCAAAGACTTTGAAGGTTACTCAATAATTAACTTACTTTGCATAAGCCTTCTCTAACAACGCGCTCCAGAATTCCTCCGGGTCACTTGAGTGAGCGTAATACAGCTTACCATTGTGAGTGGGAAGGAAATCATCAATAATAACCTCCACCCATTCACCAAACCGCCAAAAGTTAAATCTGAACATTCCGCAGTACGTGGGTTCATCGAAGCTTTGATCGGCGGGGCACACCGCGTCGAACAACTCCTTAGCGTCTGTCAACGATGCCACCGCAGCCACAAACCAGCAGTTCAGCATTCGTCCTTGAGCGATGTCTGTCCGGCTGACTCCTTTGGTGAAGAACTTGGGCGTTGTTTTGCAGATGTCCTGGAAGTTAAAGGAGGTACGTCACGGTTTGCGAATCTTGAAAAGTAAAAGCTAGATTTTTCAAGTTCGTCGTTTGTAATCCGTGTCAATCTTCTCCATCACTAACCATCCTTGTTCTTTCATGGTTTATTATTATTTATGTCAGTAGACTACTATTTTCAGGTTTCCTTCAACTGAAAAGTACTTTTGTACCTGGCCAAAACAACTCAAAGTCGCTGCGACCGAGCTCCTTTGAGTCACACTTGACCTTTAATTACCGAGGAGTGGAAAATATATAATATCAGGGAACTCTAGTGATCACGACGGCTTCGTGAAAGACAACGCCGATTAAAAACTAGCAAAATTTGACACTAAAGCTGCCACCGCTGTGAAAACCTCTTGAAGTTTAACATTTTGTGCCAGAATTGTTTATTTGTGTCTCAATGTTATTCTTATGTGTAATATTTTTGCGTGAGTGGACTAAACTGATTGTCAAGTATTACCATGCATAATATTCAAAGTAGAAGGGGTAGAACTTTTTTTCATACGCCTGTCAAAAACCCTTAAAATGAAATTAATCTTTTCGTTCGTGATTATGCAGATCTTTTCAGATTAGTAATCAGTGCTAAACTATCCTTCAGGTGAACTGAAAATGTAACAGTAGTATTCATTTCCAAATAGAAACCAAAACAAAAATAGCTAACGTCATTTTTGTAAAGTAAGCAGAATTTCTCTCTTTTTTGCAGAAGATAGGTAAAAACGCTCTTTACTCGCGTTTTTTTTTTTTTTGAAAATTATTTGAAAGGATTTGAACTGGGAGGAGACGCAATGTGATCTAGATACTTTCAGCAAGGAGAAATATAAAGTACTGAATTTAACACTTGTTAACTTAGACGCGTATTACAACAACAACAACAACAACAGCAATCTTTATTTGTACTCTCTACTAATTGCAGAAAATGTAGATAATAAAAATTAGAGTACTGGCTGCCTGGAAAAACCATACGGGCTAGCAGAGCCAGGCAGCCAGTTGACATCAGCGTTAAATGAAAATAAATTACAGGTCAGCGAGATAGCACAAATGCACACAAAAAAGAAAGGAAAAGAATTTGGAAAGTCTGAAATAATTACATTTATATATGAATACAAAATATTAATATCAGAGAAGCACACAATTAATAGCTCAGTAATTCTGGAATAAAAACATACCTTTGGTCTTTTCCATTGCAGGTTTACAGATGGCCTCGTCTTGGTGAAGAGGCTGCGGAAATTTGGCGGGAAATCTCTGTCTTCATATAATTCCCCACTCCTTTGTAGTTGTCTCTGAAGAGATAGGTACTTCTCTCGCGGTAACGCGCGCTTTAGGGACATCGATTATAATGTGCCGTAGCTACTAAGCACCTGATATTGCAAATTTAAAAAGAAAGCAAAATTAGTTTACAATTGTTGACAAAGCGCATTTTATGTCCTAGCTGTTGAGTGAAACTGATTGTACCATACGAGTCGCTAAGGTGACTGAACCAAAGCAAAGATAAAACGTTTAAGCTTCGTAGTTTTCTCTTTGCGCAATAATTTGTTTACAAGTAGGAGAATACCAGGATAAAAAGAAATATTACTACGCGCTGGCAACAGTAGTTTAGACCAGTTTATAAACTTTGAGTAAAACAGACAACAATTTTTGACCACTCACGTGTTTGTCAAGTGGCTTCCGTCCATATTAAGCCGGAGGAAATAAAAAACGCAACAATCCCCGGTTATTTTGGATTTGTGTTTGAGGAAATCTCGTTCAGGAAAACTACATGATTATCGCGACGCCATCATCAACACGAAAATGAAAAGCCGGCGTTTTCAAATTCCTTTGGTTTGATGAGCGTTTTCGAAAAGCTCCGTTTTCGCGACGGATATAGTGTGGACGGTAGACCTTACCGTAGAAATAAAGTTGCGTTTACCTGTATGTTTACCTGCATGAAAAGATCACTCTAAATGCCTGATGACTCAAACGTTAAAAAAACAAACAAAACAAAACAAAACAAAACAAATAAAAATTAAATAGCAGTTGTGGTATTTATGAGGCCTTTTTATGACAGTTCTGCAGTCGTGTTCTATTTGGCGCGTTTGAATTTTTACATTATCGTGTTCCAAAGCTGAAACTGCATGATGGTCCGAATGTGATTGTCGGAATTTCGTCAATTCGTAAAATGAACGACGTTAGTAACTATACATTGAGCAGGAATTTCTCTGGCGGTATTTGACAGCTAAAACTGCTTTATCGATGCAAATTTCTCGACTGACAGAAATGCTCAACTTATTAAAAATTTTTAAATGTCTCGACTGGTGAATATTTTCATCATTTTTTTCATCAATTTTGTTTTCATTGCAATAAGGCCAATCGATAAAAAAAGAAACTACTTGACTAACCTAGGCACACAGAGAAGAATTGGGTTTCCAGTCATTGAGTCATTGATTCATGATTTTAATTTGGCAAAACAAAACTGTTTTAATTTCTCGGAAGATCACAGAAAGACGTAACTAACTTAGGTACACAGAGCAATTTATAGCAAGGGTTTCTATTATTAAGGGAGGTACTGTTTTGTAAATTGGTTATTCGCAACCACTTAAAATTTCTTAATTGACAAAAGGCTGTCAACCTATGAATAATTTCCGGTCGATTACAAGAAAATAATAGTCATATTAGCAATCTTCACAGATCAAAATTTCTCTCGGACGTAAAAAGCGATCTAGACGGGCCATAATATTATTACCCAGGCAGTGAGGCCTGGGTTGAAATTTCGGCTCCGTTTTTTTTTTTTTCCTCGTTCAGTCACAAATCGCCGTCTAGTCTGTAAAGCGCATGCGTCACCTGTGCCTGCGCACAGCACATGGAATTTCCAGAAGTTGCCGTCGTGAAAAGTTAGCATGGATTCCATGATTTCTAGGGCGATGAAATCACATACAAACGAACACACCGTTCGAGGTAGACCAACACTAAAGGACGCTAAGCGTTTTCTGAACGGGTCGGTCTGCAAGCCTTTAGCGAGATCAATTTACGAGCGAACATTTTGAGTGAATTTATCAAGAATCATGTTATACCAAATGAGCCATCAACCGGGGCTATCAACTCTTCAACTTGATAAAAAGCATCTTCAGAAGCGTTATCGTATTTTAGACGTGATCACGAACCAAGTAGAATCCCAGCACGAACTCAAGAACGTTCGAGCAACAAGAGCAGAAAGGTTAGAGAATTTGTATACGAATGTATCTATTCGAGGACACGTAAGTGAAACGCTCTGAGAAACTTAGTAAAGTATACTAAAGATAAAATCTCGAACTAAACGATATTCTCTCGTTATTTTCTTGTAACACAGAGTTATGTGTCTTTACAAGAGTGAAACCAATGTGGCGAATTATTGTACATTTAAGCTGAAAGAAACTAATGTACGTTGACCATAGCAAAACAATTCTTGGCTTACACTGTCACGCAATCCTGACGCAATAAAAAGATTATTCTAAAACCATTTAGTGGATAAAATCAAGAAATTGTGGTGTTGTAGGAGATTAATAAAGATGACACTTTTCTTATTTTTAAGTCTGTGCGTTTTCCCAAACCTCAGATATTCGTCGAAATATTTTGCACAAATTTACAGAGACCAGTATGGAGCCGCCATGTAACGGCGTACCTCCGCGGTACGCCAACATTGCGGCCGGAAAATAGTGCAAACATCCGGAACTTACTTTGGCTATCTAGGCGACTGATTATCTGTACTGAACAAACAAGCATTTACATAAGCACTTTTCCTAATACTTTAACTTCTGAATGGGCTACAAAACACGAGATAAGTATATGTTTTTCGACAAACGCGTTCGTAGGTCTATGTCACGCACCCCCATAACTCTGAAATTCAAAATGTCTCGCTTGCTTGAGAAACGCAAATAACTACGACAAAGGCTAAGGAAAATAGACTGAAACGATTATAGGCTGATATAAAGACGTTGGCTCATTTCACGCCCTAAAGACCTGCAAACTAGTAATTAGCTATTAATCG